ATTTTTTTTAATGGAACAGAATCAAATGCCATCTGATGTATATTTTTTGACCAAGTCATTAAAAGATCTTCCACATCAACCTGATATAACAAATATTCAATTAGTCATACTCTTTCAAATTGCAAATCATTAATAGTCATATTTTCTGTTTTAATATGTTCATTATTAGAAGTTAATGGCAGTTGAATTTGTCCCATTATCAAATCGTCATTAAGAATTTCTTGAAATATTTGATGGCTAAAATCAGAAAGCGTTTCAACCTGAACTTTATAATGATCATATGTTTTTACATTTTGCACATTTGATCGTAGACTTTTCCGGTAATCACTAAAAAAAAAAAAGATAAATGAATCAATCAAATAAATAAATCATTAATAAATTAGTTAACAAAATGTGTGCCACCAAAGAAAAACCTGTCGTAGGAGTTTCAATTATATTTTGTATATAGTTAGCTATCTATGGGAAAATTTATCAAAATAATAAATTTTCCGTAGACGGCTAACTGTACACAAAATATAATTGAAACTCCTATGACAGGTTTTCCCTTGGCAGCACTCAAATTACCTTCGTTTCAAATTAGCAAGCACGCAACCTGAATTGTCAACTGAACCATAATTCAGGCTTTTTATTTCAGATGTTATTTGTATTGTAATTGTTAATTTGTTTATTGCATAACCATAGGATTGAAGCATTTGTGTAGAAGAGTTACTACCCATTTCTCTAATTGTTCCAAATAAGCCCTCAAGCATATCTTGAGAGACTCTTCTTGGTTGAAATTACAGCACCTGGGTAATTATTAAGAACATACTCTACGATTCCAAGAAATCCATTAATAGATAAAATTAAATCGAATTGGCATTGTGCAGAAAACTATTGACTTGAGTCTTTTTTTTGTTTATCACCTTGAATGAACCATTGTTTTATTTCTTTCAAAGTGTTCAAACGTGTATCATTAAATGAAGAAATACTTATTCGGCTATGTGTAATGTCTCAAAACATACGTGCATAGTAAATAAATAACTAATGAAAATGCAGTGTGTTAAAATTTTCAAATCAATTAAAAAATTGGGTCATTTCGAACCAAGTATAAATATTTATTGAATTAAAAAAAAAATTCTGGTTTAAATAAAAATTTTGATTACATACTTGAGTGCCTTGGGAAATGCAGCTTAACTCTAATATGTTTGCCATTGCTTTTTTAACATCGAATGATAACATATGCTCTGCAAGGTCTACTCTCATTTTGCTCCAAGAAGTAAGCTATATATGTCGCTTAGTCAATTTAGTAGCCTTTGCCATTATATGTTTTGTTGTATGATGATATACTTCTTGAAAGTATCGCCAGCTAATTTCCTATC